CTTTCTTCTGTCTTATTGCCCTGGCTAGATTTTTAAGGACAATGTTGAATATAAGTGGTAAAAGAGAGAATTCTTGTCTTGTTCCAGTTCTTTGAGGGAATGTTTTCAGTTTTTCCCCATTTAGAATACTGTTGGCCTTGGATTTAACATATATAACTTTTACAGTGTTGAGGTATGTTACTACGCTCCCTAATTTTTCTAGTGTTTTGAACATGAAACCATGTGTATTTTGTTAAGTGCTTTTTCTGAATCTATTGAGATGATCATATAATTCTTGGCTTTATGTCTATCAATGTACTGAATTATATTCATTGATTACTCTATGTTGAAATAAATTTGCACCCCTCGGATGAGCCCCACTTGATCATGGTGCACTATTTTCAATATTTTTCTATGAGATTTGCCAGGATTTTAATGATAATTTTTATATCCATGTTCATCAGGGATATTGGTCTGAAGTTTTCTTTCCTTGATGTGTCTGTGTCTGGTTTTGGTATCAGGGTGATAGTAGCTTCATAGAATGAGTTTGGAAGGATTTTCTTCATTTCTGTTTCATGGAATAATTTGAGGACTATTGGTGTTGAATGTATTCTTGACTGATATTCATTTTCTTTCAAGATCTTGTAGAACTTGGCTAAGAATCCATCTGGTCCTGGGCTTTTCTTGATTTGTGTGCTTTTTATGGTGACTTCTATTTCAATGCTTGAAATTGATCTGTTCAAATTGTGTATGTCCTCCTGATTCAGTTTGGATAGGTTATATGTCTCTAGAAATTTGTCAGTGTCCCCTAGATTTTTTTTTCTTTTTTTTTTTGAGTATATAAATTTTCCAAATACTTTCTGATTATCATCTGTATTTAAGTAATACTTCTTTTTTCACCACAAATTTTAGTAATTTTTGTTTTCTCTGTCTTTGTCTTAGTTGCTAAAGGTTTATCAATTATGTTGATTTTTGCAAAGAACCAACTTTTCATTTTGTCAATTTTTTGAATTATTTATTTTGTTTCCATTTTATTGATTTCAGCTCT